CTGATTTCTAAAGAGATCCATATAGACTGATAATATGCAAGAAATGAAAGAGTTCTGAACTTTGAACGAAGCATATAGAACTACTTATAGAGAGGTATCATTATCCACAATTTTTCTTTGTTATAAAATTTAAATTGATAATCATAACGGTAGGAAAAAGTTACCGTTCTGTAACGTTCATATTTCATTTCTTTCACACTCAACGGTCGAGTGTCACATCTTACAGTAACAATAAAAGAGAATATTTAATTAAATTGTAAATGTTACGCGCATTATCTACGCGTGAGTTTCCCCTTCTTGAAATTATCTCAGAAACCTAGCGCGTAATAACCAACCTACTACGTATGGTTAAAAAACAGATTACCTAATGTCTCGAATTTGGATGGAATGGGCCTAAAAAGGCCCGTCACTACATCTTTATGAACAAATCGAATTGAACATGGTTCAAAACCAAACTAAAAACCCAAAACATATTATAAGGCTCAAACAATATTTTACAATTTTTAAAGTTATTTTATTTCTATTTTTCTTATGAAAATAAACTGAAAATCGAATTAGTTTACTACTAGTTTTGATAAGGTGAACTCTACTAGTTTCAGTGAGTTAACATGTACTCAAAACAAATAACCAAGTTAAAACAAATTAATTGGATTACCGATCTGTTCAACCCTAATTAAAAGTTCACTATTATCTTCTTCCAGAATTATCTTCTTTTGTGGTCAATATTATTTATGGAATTGGATTATTTTGTGGAGACATATGTAACAAGAGTCGGACAGAACATTAATGGTCCATGGTTTTAAGTATTAAATTGGATGCACAAAGTGTCAGTGAGTACTTTTGTCAGTCTTTGAAATAAATGCATGCCAATTGATTTCTATTTATCTTGAGTATCGAGTATCTCGTTTTTTTAATTCTTTCTTTCTTGGAGTACATATGTATCATTCACAGCATTGTAAAATATGTGATGCAAATAGTTTATCCCATTTCATTTTCCTGCGACGATACTAACAGTGATAATGAAACATTGATCTCCTTCCTCCACACACATTATTGTGTTTATTAATCATTAGACTGCATGTGACGATACGTATATACGAATACAGTAAAAAATAAACCGTAGTCAATTCAAAAAATAAAATAAACCGTAGAAGTATTATATTTTCGCATTAAAATACCCATCGAATAATATAGTTGAATGATCTTAGAGTTGTTAGAATGGGAAAAAAAACCTCACAAATATTTTTATCTGTAAACTATTAAATAATTAGGGTTGATGTCACTCCATTTTTATTTTATTTCCGATCTTACAAGAAAGAAAAATGTTCACGCCGATTTATGAGTTAAAATTTTATAGTAAAATTTATAGCGTATTTCAGTTTCTTTAATTACTATATGTTTCGTTTTACAATTAGTAAGATTTCGGTGATCAAAATTTTTAAAGTAGACGTATCCGTTGTTTGAGGGTGCAGGTTAGCATTTGTAAGTGATCATTTTTAACTCAATGGACAAGCCACGAGCAATTTGTTATGGGCATTTTATTTTATTTTATCCTTATTTTCAACTTTTTCTATCACTTCGAAATAAAGAAACTCGGTAACATAATCAATGGTTGTCCACTAATTAACCCATTTATTAGAGATCCTTTTTAGATTCCAATTCTTTTTCTTGCCAACAATTCCACCTTTATTATCACAAACCCCACATTTTCTATTTCCTTTTTGTTTGTGGACAAATAAATGTGATTTTCTCTTGCACTATCTAAATCAGTGTAATGCCTAATCTAATGTTAACATCACAATTGTCATACTCAAAACTATTTATATACATATAAGACAACTAATACTAGACAAATCAATAACTCGATAAATGAATAATTTTGCTCTGTTCTAAATTGATTTATTAGTACAATTAATATTATAAATTAATAAAATATTGTTTTAGATTAAAACCACTCATACAACACTTTAATTTTTTTTTCCTCTTAAAAATCATTCATACATCATTATTATCCTTCTTCTATTTATACTAAATTATTGATAGAAGAATTTTACAAAATTAGAAAGAGTGGGGCTAAAATGTCACAATCTAGAACATGGGGGCTACCAAAGAAAGAAGATAAAAGTAATGGGTATAAGAACAGAGAGATAGCATTAATTGAAATCCCTTCTTACTCAGCAACCACTGAGAGAGAGAGAGAGCGAATCAAGGTTTCTC